TAAATTATGTTGACTTATTAGTAATGCCTCAGCCAGTACAATTTTTTTTAAATTTTTTTAAATTGTTTTTAGCAAATTATTGCAATTTATTTGAAGGTTTTTAATTTTTCTTATTTTAACTACTCTAACTGTTAATTCTTGTTTTGCAACATTTTTCACTAGATTACATTGTTGACATTTTGGCTCTCAGAATTTAACTGTTTAATTTTTTTTTTTTTTGTTAGAGCGGGTAAAATAAATTGATATTTTTTGCATTTTATGTGCTGTTATGCATACAACTAAACATATAAATGATTGTTTATAAGTACATATACATTCTTATAATTATGTATATGAATAATCATTCTAATTATAGGATTTTCTAAAACACAATTATTCCATAAGTACAATAATACAGTTTTTTCTAATACATCCATTCATAATTCATTGAGTATGTATGGGTGCTAATACCGATAAATCATTATTTCCACATTAGATAGTTAACTGCGCTTGATCAATAATGCCAATACTTTTATTAAGTAAATGATATGTTTGATTTTTATTATCATTGAATTTTCTTGGCCACAAAAACCATTGCCTTTAATATTGTTTTGTTTTTTGTTTTGTTTTAATTTTCTTAGGTTTAAAGTTTAACTTTGTTTGATATGTATGTAAGTTTGATTTGAAAATGTTCGGCGTGCGTCAGTTTTCTTTTTGCACAAAATCGTATTTATCTATGATTGTTCGAGTATCTTCATGGCTGCCGTTTTGCCCTGCTTTCCGCTTGATCTGCACGTCCGGTTTGTTTGCAGCACGCGTCCACTATAGTATGTGTGTTTGATTGTATCTATGCGTGGGTGTGTTTGTGTAGCTTGCTTATCTGTAGGAGTGTACGTACGTACTTTCTTGCTTCTGTTGCTTGTGTTTGGTCTTATTTTAACTATCCTCATTACATGCGTCGCTGACTGAAGGCGGATAGGAAGCGTGATTCGCGTACTTCCTGTAAGAAAACAAAAAAAAAAAAAATGTGATAAAAACGTATTTTTAATACACATACATATTTTTTTTTTAACGTTATTCGCGTTTTTCAACAGGATTCAAGGATGATGGTTTCACTCCTTTTCAATTTCTTCTCTTTTCTCATTCACTCTTTAATTTTCTTTCAACAACTAATTTTGTATTTGACATCCATGGGTGGGGGCAGCTTCAGTGCCATGCCATGCCAATCAATTTAAGTGCGTTGAAGCATGATTTTAATAGCGGAAATGATAGCATCATTAGGGTTGAGTTAACTTGGCTTCAAAATTAAGGGAATTTAACTTCCAACTGGGTCACCACTATTGGCAAAGGATGATTGCATAAAATCCACAGAAGTGAAGCTTATATTTGATCTAATATTCAAATATTTACAAAATGCAATAAAATGTTTTTCTTTTTCAATTTAAGTAAGTGGCATTAAATTAAAAACTGTATCAAAAGATTTATGTTTTTAGGAAAAATAAGTTCACCCCCTTACAATGTCTTACTTTTGTTACTATTACTGTACGCGCTACCCAAGCACTTAAGCAGTTAAGTATGTACTGGTGTTTGTTGCCTTCTCGGATTTTTCGCAGCTTATGTGCTTAAGTGGTTTGGCCCCCCATTTCAGCCCTTAAGTATAAAATTAATTCAATGCACGAGCTAAGCAAGCACCTATTTATGTACATATATATGTACGTACATATATACATCGGCAATTGAGTGCATACTGCATTCTATGTACGTGCTCTTACTCATAAGCAGGTACAGTAGAATCTCGATATCTCGCGCACAAATACAAATGTATGCGCTAAATTTATGCATATGTATGTATGTATGTATGTATGCAGTCGTACACACCTCATCTTCTGTTGGCATAATGTCGATGCACATGAAAGGATCCCGGAAGTAGGCGCATAATTTGCGTGGACGTATGCGATGATGAGTGCGTTGCAGTTGGCAACATAAGCCCCTGAAAGAAATTGGAGAAAAAACATATAATAATATTAACATTATTGAAATAAGATTTAACAATGGATTAGCGCATTTTTAATTATGGTATAGTAATGATTTATTTTGGTAATGGTAATTTTTATGGTTATAGTTATTATGGCTATGGTTATGGCTATAGATGGGGTTATGGTTTAGGTTATAGTTTAGGTTATGGTTTAGGTTATAGTTATGGTAATGGCTAAAGTTATGGTTACGGCTAAAGTTATTGTGATGGTTATGGATATGACTATAGATATGGCTATGGTTACGGTTATGGTTGTGGTTATAGTTATGGATATGGTGATGTTTATGGTTATGGTTGTGGTTATGGTTATGGCTATGGTTATGGTTGTAGTTATGGTTATGGTTATGGCTATGTTTATGGTTGTGATTATGATTATGGTTATTTTTATAGTTATGGTAATGGTAACGGTTATGGTTATTCTGATGGTTGTGGTTATTGTGATGGCTATAGTTATGGCTAATGTTCATGGTTATGCTCATGGTTATGGTAGGGGTAATGGTAATGGTTATGGTGAAGAGTATCTGTCATAAATTTTTTTTTAAATATATTTACGTAAACACAAACTATGTACACCTTTGTCAAAATAACAGAAATGCAACATTTTGAGCAGTTTTCACAATTTTCGTTTTGTTTGCTTAGTGTTCATACATTTTTTATAACGGTATACACAAACTATATTACTCCCAATTTTAAACTTTGTGAAAATTACAAAAAGTAAATAAATTTTCACTCAAATCCCAAATTTTTTAATCAGAATTTTTAGAAAAATATTTAGCATGCAGTTTAATAGCGCATCAAATTTTAGTTAAATAAAGCGGAAGTGGGAAGTTGCTTAAAATTCCGTTGGTATGTAATAATTTTGTTTGCTGACGGTGTAATTTTGTATCTTGCATACCATAAATTCATCTAAAAACTTTGATTGAAAAGTTAGAAATTTTGGTGAACATTTTTGGATTCTTTTAAATTTTTGTACAAAGTTTGAAATTTGGAATTACCTAATACTTATAACTTATATATAAAAACTTAAAACAAAAAATTTGCACTGGTCAAAATGTCGCGTTTCTTATATATATATTTTTTTTACCGAGTGTGTATAAATAATGTACTAATAGGGCACCAATAGAAGATGTTCACCATCTCGTGGTCATATAGCTGTTATGTTTCTACAAATATAAATCTATTTTTACTACTTTAACCTCAGTGCGTCAACTATTTCTGAAACTAGTAGCCGACGAGCAGCAAACAACTCCGACACTACCAATATTCCTGTTAATATTTTTTTATACCTACTATAAATCTTATCCACAAGGCAACGCACCATCTAACCGCTACATACATAAATATGTATGAGTTTATATGCTACACTTACTTGGTCACATTACAATCGCTCGACGACACACAATCCTCGCCAAATTGCTTTACATTCAATGCCATCTTGGGTACAGTTGCAATATTTGTGCCGACATTAAGTGAAACTGCGTTATTACCAACACCACCTACGCCAGCAGCAGCAGCAGTAGCAACACCACCACCACCACCAACACCTACACCATTCAATAGATGAACCGCAGTTGCACTCGGTTGACACATCAGATTACCAGCTGCAGTCTTCAGGCAAGACATTCCCAGCTCACAGTCTGTATTGCGGTGGCACAGATCGCGTTTCCGTCCATAAACATAAATGCATTTACCCTCTGTTTTGGCGTAGCGAAATGGAGGAAAAATACCGGGGAAAAAATATAAAAATGTTTACAGGAAAAATTAATTTTGAAATTTTATTTATATTGAAAGTAGACGTGTGCGCGTGGTGACCTTTCGCCAGAGCGGCGATAAATTAACACATCGTCAGCTTGAACGATTGCACACGCATACACCTACGCCTGCACAAATGTACAATTTATTATTTTATAAATGCGAAAATATATATGTATGTATGTATATTGACACTTACCGCCGTAGGTATTTACGCAGACACCTGTGGGACAGCAATCATCATTGGCCTGACAAGCCCGATCCACACATGGCGTATCCTCTATTAGTGGTTCGACGATGCCATATATTTCCGTCTGTCGGTTAAAAGCGGAAATGTTATAAAAAAAAAGAGCGTAGCTATAATTTTGTAGGTATGTATGTGTGTGTTCATACTAAAATAAAAAATACACCTGGAGGTGGTAAGAGTATGCTTCTTTATATAATTTATGAACGTAATAAAGGATGTATATATGTATGTACATATGTACACACGCACATATGTATGTAAATTTCTGACATAGTAAAATACAATTTATCAAAAATGCATGTGAAAAAGTAAAGTCGGAAGTTTTATGCTCTCATCCCCTAGGATTGTTCCATACCGAAAAAAATATACCCACTATTTTTTTTATTTTGAAATCAAAAAATATTTAGAGGTCGCTAAAACCTCTAAAAAGTTGTACATGCATTTTATATGGGGAAAAAACAACTTTTCGTAGAAATCGTATATAATTCTTAAAAATCAATATTTTTCTATCGGAAATATCGCGATAGAACAATCCTAGCATTATAATTCCAACTTAACTGTTTTTGAACCACCCTAATGCGCACATTATTTACTATTAATTGAATTCGTGTTCGGCAGCAAAGTTTAAAAAGTGATAAAAATCATCAACAGCGAGTAGCTTCAGCCTTCGTACTACTAGACGTATGAGCGATGTGTAATTTCATTGCTCAGCTGCTGATTGCTGTGCTTGATGTGCCGAATGTGGCAGCGTGGAAGCCGTTAATATTTATCATATGAACGCACATAAATAATTGCCAGCCATATTATGGTCCTATACCTTAGTGAGAA